TCATTTCTAAAATAGCCATTTAAATTGGATGAGTGATGCAACATCAAGCCACAAAAGAATCCTCAGCACTTGGGAAATGATGTGAGATGGGTGAAGGCAAAGACTTCACACAAGCCCTTTCCTGAGACTTGAATAAAGTGACTCCTCTATAAATAGCCCTTTGTAGGAACAGCTGGGTGATTAATTTGTGGGCTCTAGCAAAACATTACAGAAGGGCTCTTTTGTAACAAGACTTCATCCCCTATATCTATATACATTTTACAATGCCTCAAATGCTTTTAAATTAGTCACCTAATTTAGTTACCTCATGTAACTATAATCCCTTTATTGTGAGTATGGCAGCATCTCTGGAGCAGAATGGAGAAATGCCTTACTTAGTTGTCTCAAGGTTAGGATTGGATCCAGCCTGACTTCTGTCTGGTCTGAGGGTCCTCAGGCTGCATCTCAATGAACAGTTTCTCTGAAGAGCCCTAAATGGCGCCTGTCCTTTCAGTTCCTTCAGAGCCCTGGTTTTTCCTGAAGTGCCTGTCATCTTTTTGCAAGGCGATTCTGCCTGAATGAAGTAGAAGCAGGGCCCTTGCTATGAAAATGGCAGCTTCAGGATTCTGCTCCAAGGATCTGAAAGGAAGAGAGACGTTCTTTTGAGCAAAGGAGCAGCACTACTCAGCAAGCTTTAGTGGAAGAAAGTCTCTACCCCAGTCCTGCCTGTTCTGTCATTTCACCTGACAGGGCTTCTCCCAGCCTTAACTGGATGCTGGTAGATACTTAGCCCCAAGGGGGCAGGAACCCTGTCTTTTGCACACCAGTACATACCCAGATTCTAATACCGTGCTTGGAACAAAATAGATGATCAACGAAGATCAGATAGATAAGTGAACATTTAGAAATACTGTGAGACCTATCAGATCCGAATGGCACTTGAAGCTTCCATCCTTCCCGGGCTGCAGGTGTGGTTCCCTGGTGACAGGAATTGCGGGGACGGAGGACAAGTACTCCCTTCACTCCCAGAGCAGAGCGGCAAGCTGTTTTGGAACTGGAGGCCTGGATACGGAGTCCAAGGTGCAGGTCAGGGGTGCGCCGGGCGCCCCTCGCCACAGCCATTTCCGGCTCTTTGTGTGACAGCTGCGGCGGCAAAGGGGCCGAGCACCAGGAGTGAAGGAGGAGCTGAAACGGGCGCGGGGGCGGGGCCGAGGGCGGGGCCGAGCGCGGCGGCGGAGCGGAGCCTGGCCGAGCATCCTGCGCCCCGGCGCGGGGCCTGCGGTAGCCTCCGGCCCCTCCCCTGGACGTGCTGCACACCCAGGTAAGTGGAACTCGCTGGTCTCGGAGCCCGTGGGGGGCCGAGATCCTGCTGAGGACAGGGATGCAGACGTGAGGATGCGTGAGGCGCCGGCGTCACCTCTCCCAGCCCGCCGGGGGCGCTCGGCGTCGCGGCCAGGGTAGGGCTGCCTGGGGCCCCCGGAGGCCTGGCAGAGGGCCTTGAGAGACCCTTTCCCCCTCGGTCCACAGTGGGCCCAGCTGCGCGATCCCTCTGCCTGGAGACGCCGGCACCGCGCTGGGGTAGGAGCGGCGGCGGCGGCCGCAGCAGCAGCAGCAGCGGCATCGGCAGCAGGTGCGCGGCCTGGACCCCAGCCGTTAGCGCGAGAGGAGGCGGTGCTAACTCGGGGACCCGAGACACCTGCAGCGGCCGCTAGCCTGGCGCCGGTGACATTCTTGCGCCCAGGTACTGCAGAGCGCCCACCCCCGCTTCTGCTACCGCAGCCACCATCACCTCCCCCCGGGCCAGCCAGAGCCTCCAGGGCCTGCCTGGCAGCCGCCTTGGGCACACAGGCCCTGGGGTGAACGTGAGATGGGTGGGGCGAGGGGCGCAGCAGCAGCGTTTGAGGGTGGAGGGCTTTGATGAGTGAGGAAGCACGTCCTACCTGCCTTGAAGCATTCTGGCCTACCCTCATCGCTCTTAGTTGGCTGGGACCTGGGAGGAGATGGGGAAAGGGGATCAGTGGGCACACTCCTGGGGGAAAAGGTTGGTTTTCTTGAGTTGTGTAGACCCAGAAAGCTGCCTATCTGTCTGTTGTGGGTTATACTTTAAAGACCACCCTATTACCCACCCCACCCCCCAAAAAAAAATATGTGCAGAGGAAGAGGAGGAGATGCCCTGTTTTGATGGGGGTGGGGGTAGGCAGGTAGCATGGTGTCATAGAATTATGGTTCTCTAAACAGAGAACCTGGCTAAGAAGGACAGTCTCTCTCCAGGTGCCTCCCCAGCCCAGGGCATCTGACTTTGAACTTCACTTGCCCAGTTTTCCCATGTGGAAACAATCAAATCACCCCAGCTGATGAGCTGTCAGCTGCTCCTCCTCCGCCCCATGTTGGGTCAAGAATAGGGCAAGGACCTTCTGCTGGCTCCTGGGTACAGGTCTAGGAGGGTGGGGGCCCCTTTTCCACTTCTTGCCTTTATCACCTTTGGGGCAGTGGAACTCTGACCTTACTAGGGCACCGGCCCTGTTGCCACTCATGCCACAACCCAGGGGTCCTCAAATCTTGGAGGGCAAAAATCTAGGTCCATATCCCTGGGCAGGACTGTGCAGGCCTTGAAGGTTGTTTTTCCCCTCAGAAAACCCTCTTGGGTGTCCCTCTCCAAGGCCTCTCATCTCCAATTCCTCAGGATTCCCTGTGCTTCCCTAGTTCTCCAGTGTGAAAACTTGTTTTCGAGAAAGTAACCAGGGAGTGGTTATCTTGAAGAGCTAAATATAAAAGGATTTCCCTTTTGATGCAGAGCAGGTGCTTTCGGAGTCATTTGACCAGAAAGAAAATAAAATATTTGATATTTTTAATGGTATAATTTCAGAATTGAGGTAGCAGTGGGGGTGGGTAGCTGGGTAGGGTTTTATTTTTACCTGGGTGGGGGGTACAGATTTCTGAAATGACTAGCTGTCAGCTCTGTATTCAGCAAGGGCAGCTTTGGCCCCCAGGCCAAGAATACTGTAGAAGTGTGTGTGTGTGTGTGTGTGTGTGTGTGTGTAACTGGTCAGGGGTTACTGTCACCAGGCTTTTGCTGGGCACCCAGTGTCCACTTGTGGGATGTGAAACTTGGATATAATGAATTCCTTGCTGGCACTAGCTACCATCTGCCAGGGTAGTTATAAGGCCCCAAGCTGCGTGTGTTGTTGTTGCAAAGACTGTGCCTCTGGGTAGTTCTGCTCACTGAGCCTCTGGCTGGGGGCATTAGCTCTGTACTCACTAAGCTTCTTTATTATATTTCCTGGCCAGTTCTGACTGGTTCTGTAGGCCCCCAAGGCTGCCTGTTCACTTCATGTTGAAAAATGAAAAAGGAAAAACTTGCTTTGGGGATAGGGTATACAATCTAGTCAGCTTGGAGAGTTTTGCTCCAGTCAAAATAGATGTGGGTCCAGAGAAGGAATTTAAAAACTAGTGCAGGGCCCCAGGAGAACACTACATGTCCCCTCTGATAAATGGTACCCTCTCAGTGTTCAGCTGCTGTCATTGACCAGAAAGCGAATTAGGTGATGAATAGACAACAAGCTAATTAACATTGGGAACAGCGCTCCTGGAAAACAGAGCATGGCTCCAGTGCTCACGTTTAAGGAGCAGCCTACACACTCAAAGAGGCTTCTCTTTGGCCACTGTTTGCCCCAGGGTTCCACCAAGAGCTTCACAAAATGGGCTTTTGTAGCCTCCATGTGGCCACCATAACAATAAGTCTATTTCTTTACTGGCAAGAATTAATTATTCACTTGTAGTTGACGAAAGCAGACATCAGTCACCTCATTGGAGCCTTTGTGCAAAGCCTTTGGTCTTGCCTTGAGGAGCAGAGCCATGTCTGGGGTTTGGAGGATGGCCTGCATTAGCCAGAGGAGGTGGGAGGGACATGCTGCTGCCTTCTAGGCAGTGAAGGGGAGGCCAGCTGTGGTGGGGGAGGGACTGGTACATCTTTGGATGCTCTTGTTAAATGAGGGATGCCTGAAAGCGCTGAGCAGAGTGCTTAGCAAAAAAAAAAAAAAAAAAAAAATTCTATTTATACCTTTATTGCTGTAATGTATTATTTACATAATCATTAAGAATTTGGCTCAAGTGCATAGTCAACCCCACAGATCTAACTAACCCCTCTACCTTCGGCACTTTCCTGAATTTTGCTTCTTCCTGGAGAGTTGAACTCTGATCAATTTCAGTACCTGCCAAAGGCACTGAAAAGAAACAGGGATCCTACGCGGTGATGTCAGCAAAGGCTTCAGTAAGAAGCTCTAAGGAAGGTGGGTGGAACTTGAGTGGGAAGGAGGAGGAAGAGGGAAGAATTGGACGAACAGAAGCCCAGAGGTAATTCTCACATTTCAACACCCAGAGTTCAGGCAAGACCTCTTGCTCTGTGTGTATTCTGCATTTTGCAACCAACCAGAAATGACAAGGGCATGCTTGGCTTTTGTCTTGCTTCTGAGAAAGTCAGAGCAGCCCAGGGGACTTAGGACACAGGACTTATCCCCAACTTTCTGTGTACCCTGAATTCCAGACACTACCTTTCTGACTTTAAAAATTAAGCAATGGAAAGCAATTTGGCTAGCTTGTTGCCTGCCTGTCACCAGAGGAGACCTCAGATGAGATAATGTCTGTAAAGCCCAGTCTGAGGAGAAGGGGCTGTGGAAATCGGAAGAGAAGGAGGCTCCTGAATGTGTGACTCTTGGATGGGTGCCCTCCATTCCTAAAGGAACAATTTATTAATTATATGTTGTGTGTCAATTAAAGAAGATGAGTCTGTGGCCTTTCTATACCATGGAGCCAACGAGAAACTGAAAGGCACTTTGTGATTCAGATTCTGTAAGGTCCCTGGATGGCCTTGTCTGTAGCAAGGTATTTCAGAACTCTGTCAGTGGGTGTGGGACACTTCCCAGGATGCCTAGAGTTTCTGTAATGGCTTTCTAGCCATGGACATTATTCTGAGGGCTGTGTGTGATGTGCCCAAAGAATGGCCACTTTACACATATTCTCTGATCCTGGTAACAAAGGAAAAAATGAATTAGGTGCAAATTCCTGAAAGAAATGGTTTTGAGAAGGCAGAGCTTGAATTCAGGCAGAATTTCTTACAGGGATCATTCTGGTTGAGTGGCAGAAGCAGTTCAGTGAGACAGGAAAGCAAAGGCAGCCTTCTGGAGGGAGAGGTGATGGACAATGACCCATCCCTAGGTCTTTGGACAGTGTGTTTGTCAGGTCATCCTGTAGCAGGGCTTCTAGACTATAAGCTTTAGGTGGAAGAGGACTATGTAGTTTATCCACATCACTATCAACTTGTGTTCAAGTGAGGCAGGAGATAAGATCCTTTGCAGAAAGTAAAGGTAGCAGACTGGTTAGGAAACTTCAGGAGACATCCCAAGTTTGCAACAGCTGTCTGTGGGTGGAATAGGAAATCAGCTGAGGGATGAATGAGGGGATTGTATGGCTTCACTGACAGCCCAGCTGAAATCAAAAGCAGCCTGTAGGGCTGACCTCATAGAAGATGCTTAATAACTCAATGTTAAGTGTAGGGATAACTGAGAACTGTTTTCAGTTTGTGTTTTTAAAATGTGATGTTTTAAGACCAATTTTGGCCAGGTGCAGTGGCTCATGCCTGTAATCCCAGCAGCCCAGGAGGCTGAGGCAGAGAATCACGAGTTCAAAGTCAGTCTCAGCAACTTAGCGAGGCCCTAAGCAACTCAGTGAGAACCTGTCTCTAAATAAAATACAAAAAAAAGGGCTGGGGATGTGGTTCAGTGATTAAGTATCCCTGAGTTAAATCTCTGGTACCAAAATAAAAGACCAGTTTTGGCAAGGTAGGAATGATGAGACAAGAATTCAAATCTCAACCTACAAATTGGTTATACCTCCATATGGGAAAGAGGATGAGGACCTCCTTCCTATGGTTGGATTTGGAGACCACATGACCGAAGAATTTTCTTTTTTTAAAAGAAGTCTGAGATTCTTAGTGTAATGAGGCTAATGTAGATGCTTTGGAGGACCATGATGTTTTAAATTAAAAAATAATTTTTTAAGCAGAAGACATGAATTTTGTATTGAATTTTCGTCATTGGTGCATATGTTCAACAAATCATTCAGGAAGTGTTAATTAAGCAAGTGATACCTTACCAGTTTGTGTCCATCTCTGTGCTAGTTGCTGTTGGTCAGATCCAGGAAAGAGGGCCATCCCTGGCATTCTTGGCGATCCAAAGAATTAGCAGAACATGAAATAGTTTGTCGTGCAGTAGGAAATTGTGAAGTCTATACTGTGAGCACTGTAGGAAATGAGATAAACAAAGGCTATTGTAGAACTTGGCTGGCCAGGCCTCTGTGGGAGAGGCTCCCCTTGACCTGAGCCTTGATGGATGGGCAGCATTTGAGGAGGGTACAGTCCACAAGGGTGATAGCTTAAGCAAAGGCACAAAGCAAAGAATGTTCATGGTCAGGTTTATGGCTCTGTGTACAGGTTAGCCACAGTAGATAATCCATCTGAGCTTCTCTAAGAAAGCCCTTTGGGTGGAATGTCCCAATTATAGTCAGAGCCATTTCCTGTAGAGTTGGAAGGACCCAAAGGCTCAAGTCTTCAATGGTTGTTTTTGTTTTTCCTTTTTTCAAAGTAAGCTTGATGGAAAATTTGATAGGCTCAATAACTCATGCCTTACAGTCAGTCCCCCAGCTTTTCCCCATTTTCTCCCACTCAACAGGAGAGAGAAAAATGCA